TTACTTTTTCATTATTTCTTAATTTAATTAACAATTACCAGCGTGTAATTTCGTTTCCATCAGATCTCCTTTTGTTAAATATTATGTTATAAACCAATAAAGATAACATTGTTAACTAAGCTAAGGAGATGGTAATGATAAAGCGATTTATTCGTCATCGATCTCTATTTGTTTATAATTTAACCTAATATTTGACAAAAGGAAATCAGATGGAAAGGAAATTATACATTGGTATTTGTTAACAAATATCAACGTACGAGTATAATGAGCCGTATAATGAGTCGTTTCCACGGTATAAATCTTGAAAGATCCAGATTTTATATGATTACTGGACCTTCTAAGGCTTGTAGCGCGGAAACGGCTCATAAAATCAAATTGTGCCCATTGAAACATTTGTTCAGAATGAAGAGAACTACAACATATCCAAAAATTAGTCAAATTCGCAGAAAGACATTTTCCCATAAAATTGGTGCGAAATGATTTGGTTTATTCCGGATGTCTCACATGTAATGACTATGTTTGACTAGAAATTTTATTAGTGGTTTCATTGTATTGACTGTATTAGAGGAGAATTGAGGAATTATCTAACTTTATCATTGCATTAAAAAGAACTCGAACAAGAAGTCTGCTCAGTTGAATTTGTCAGCTTTTATGAACTTTGTATTACGGTAACAATTATTATATTTTGACACTAATTATAGCGCCGCGGCAAAATCTCATTGGCAATTTGAGTTGCAACTTTAGATATAATATTGAATTAATTATAAAAAGTAAATGTAAAAACACATGCACAGATCGATGAATACTTGTTGTATATATAGTATTGTTTGAGATCGAAAGATGGTCGCGCAATATTGTCGGCAGAGAAAATCTGCATAAATTTTGTATTTGCGTTATCCTTCATATTTTAAATCTTATTTCGTTATTCTTTGTGTATGATATGGGCTTCTAGAAAATTTTAGTAATCATCGATGACATCCAAATGTTTGTTAGTGCTTATTCTTTCTAAAAAAAAAAGAAGCCCATGTCATACATAAACATACAGCTATCTAACGCTACTCAAGCTAACAATAGACTGCGAGTGCATCTCAGCGATTAATAACGTAACTCGCCGCCAATCGCGTTCGTGGATCTTCTTCCACGCATGATTATAAGACTCCTTGACCTGCAGGTCACATTAAATTTTTAAGTACTATTAGAGCCTTCTCATTGGCAATTAAGGAGAAAGCGCCTTATCTCACCAGGATAAAAAGGCGAATCAGTTGTCGGCCGCTCTCTTTCTTTTTTCGTTAGCATCAGTTGAGAAAACCGCTGAGACCGTCGAATAGAATTCTTAATCTTGCCTAAAAGTTTCACGTCGTGAGTTTGTTCTGCCTGAAATTCAATTATATGTAGTAAACCGAGTGTAAAATAAATTTGTACTGTGCATAAACCTGTGAACTTTGTGTCTTTTTTCGTGACGTTACACCAGCATACTTCGTCCGCTCTCTTTATCCGTGTTTGTCGTGTGCTCTCGAACAAGTGTACTATACAAACGTAAGTTATTCATTGACGTTTTTGTCTTCCATGCGTTTCTATATACCAGCTCGATAAGTGAATTATTTTAAGAGGATAATACATAATACTTTAAAACAGATTGCAATTCAACATTGTATACAACACAACAACGTCACTGATTACTGACCATATATAATATCATTTAAAATTACAAATAGGATTGTTATCATTTTTGCCATTTTATTTTTATACGTTTATCTCTGTTGCAGAGCACGATCTTGTACATAGAAATTGCACACATTTTAGTTATTATAAGTGACATTTTTATTTTTCTATTATTTCTATTATTTATCTATCTATTGTTTCTATTATGTGTTTCTATTATCTCAGCAATAAACTTTTAAAAAGCTAAATATGTAAAAGTTCGCAATTCAGTATTGCATATAATGCAATAGTATCGTTAAAACGCATTATACTGTTTATATAAGAGACTTGGCGCTGAGACACCAGTGTCTCCAGATATTATCTAAAATAATAAGTAGATAATAGAAAGTTGAAAGATTTTAGGTTCGAATCTTGACTGAGATAATATTTGAAAGTTCTTTCACAATAAGTTTTTTTTACAGTTTTTTTTCTGTTTTTATTTAATTTAGGGAGGGATTATTAGCGTTTCAGAAAAAATATTTCTGCAACTGATTGTAGTGAAAATCTGAAAAGTTATCGGCGCGCAGTGATATCTGAAATAAATTGATTTAATAAAGAATATATTTGTTCCAAACATCTATAAATTTTGACCATGTTGGTGTTCTCCATTGCATTTGATGTATACATATATAGGGTGTCCTAAGTTTGTGCCAAGGACTTTTGTGTGGATAAAGCAGATTAAACTGAGTCGAAGAGTTTTCTATTTTGCAATTTTCGTAATAGTTAACAAGATATATTAATTGCTAACAATTGCCGAATATTAGTCTTTAATAATTTTTTACTCAAATATTATCAACTTTACAAAAAAACTGCAAGATACAAAAATCTAAATTCTAAGAATTTTTTCAGAATTTTTTAATCAACTTTTTAGTACTGCATTTGTTTATTTGTGCCAACATAAGAGAGAGAGAGAGAGAGAGAGACAGAGAGAAAATACGGTTTAAAAAAATTTAGAAAAAAATTCTCAAAACTTTATGAGAAGAAAATAAACAATTTTTTGTTGTTTTTGCTCTCGCTGTTTTTCTATAAAGTTAATAATATTTGAGTAAAAAATTATTGAAAACCAATAGTCAACGATTTCTAGTAAATAATATCTTCAAGAATAGATGTAAATCAGCCAATGCGAGCCAACACAGGTTAAGCGTATGTGAATAGTTTATTCTTGAGAAAAATTGACAAACGGTTTAATCCTTTCGGTTTTCCCTTTGGGTCTTTCTTAATATAAAAATAAAAATAAAATTAGTGATGTATAAATTTAATATAAAAGATGCGATACAAAGCAAATTGACGTATCGTTAACATATATTCATAAAATGATAATAATGCTGTTTATTGTATCTAACAAAATACTCAAATCTAACATTTCAGATTATCTGTAATTTAATAAAGTCGAATAAGTCATTACAACATAAATTCAATTAATTGAATAAAAAACTTACGTATAATAATGTTAACGATGATATGTGAGATAAGACATGTTAGCACGCAAAGACGTTCAAAGAGTATGTGAGAGGTCAAAATCAATTTATCGTTAGTCATAGATACAAAACATAGATGATAAATAAATACAATATAAATATAACATGGTAATAAATAAATACAATATATATATATATATATATATATGTTTTAAACAATAAATTAGAGAAATAAAACATAAAAATGTCAAATCTTTTTAAATAGATCTTGGTATAATGAATCTAGAAATTCTGTATCCTCCTGCACATTTAATCCATTTCTTTATTTGTTAATAAAAATTGATTCTGAAATGTGTGTGTGTGCGTGCGTGCGCGCATGTAAAATCTCTTTCTCTAGTTTTAGCGGATGTAACTCAGGATTTGGAACATAACATATTTAATACACTTACCACACATATTCCATTTTATTATCGTTATGTGGATGATATTGTTTTAGCGGCTCCGAATAATCTTATTAGTACTATTTTGAATTCCTTTAATTCTTACCACGAGCACAACAATTTTACGGTCGATTATGGTGATAATAGCATAAACTTTTTGGATGTCAAACTTTTGATTGAGAGCGGAAGAGTTATTTTTGACATTTACAAGAAGCCTACAAATTCCGGAAGATACCTTAACTTTTTTTCTAATCATCCTATAGAACACAAAAAAGGTGTTGTGATTGATTTGTTGGATAGAATTTTATTTCTTTCCCATCCTAAATTCCACAACATTAATATCAGTTCTTTAACTCTTATAACTCTCCAACGGAACGGATGCCCATTAAAATTTTTATTTACAACGATGAATAATAGAATTAAAATTTTGTCATTAAAAAAGAATTTTGATTTTATTAAAGAACAAAATGTCAATTCTAACGTGGATTCTTCTATCATTAATAAAAAATTTTTTACCATTCCTTGCCTTAAAAAAACTTCTGAAAAATTCAAATTAGTTTTAAATAAATTTGATTTTGATTTAGTGTATAAATATGAATAGCATGAACACGTTCATAAAAACTGACAAGGACAAGATTAAAAAAGATGAGCATTCTAACGTTGTCTACCAAGTCAATTGTAAGGATTGTAATCATTCTTATGTTGGTCAAAAGGAAGTTGAGGACGCGTCTTAAAGAAGATCAGGATCTTGTAGATCCGTATTACAAATCAAACTAATCAAGACTCCTTATAAATAAAAGAACTGGAAAGGATACGGATAGTAGGAGTCAAGCGCAGAAGACGTCGCGCAAATAATATATCTATGAAGTGTGAAACTTCTTTATTAACTAAAACGCGCTTACATGTTTCGACTCACTTTTGAGCCTTCCTCAGAGACAACACACACTAACATACATAAACATACATAGACGTGACAACAACACAAGTCTTTATAGCTTGTCTATAATTGGAAAGTAGAAAAGTCCTTGGAAAGCCCCTCCATATCCGTTTGCAAATTAAGTCCGTGTATCTCCTGATGAATATCATCTCCGAAATTAGTCTCTTTCTATAGTGAGGTTCCTTGTCCAATATTGCAACTTTCTCCCAATCTAGATGCCTCATGGCCTTCTTGCTCCGTTGAGTAGAGATGTTCCATCTCATGTGGTTCTTATGCTCCGTGATTCTTGACTTTAGCTGTTGTGAAGTTTCACACTTTATAGATATATTATTTACGCGACGTCTTCTGCGCTTGACTCCTACTGCCCGCATCCTTTCCAGTTCTTTGATAAACTTGTAGTTTATTTCTCCTGTAGAGCGATCTTCATATAAATTGTATTCCCCTTTTTGTATAAATTCATTCCCCATTTTGTATAAACGCATTCCCATTTGTGCAATTGAACGAGAACTCATAAGACACCTACGTCAAAATAAGGAAGTTGAAAGAAATCAAGAGAACCTGACATTGGGACAGAAGTGATGACAATATTGGAATGGTGCGTCGGAATTGCAACCATCCTACTAACCTTTCTCATTTATTTTGGATATTTCTTTAAATTTAATGGTGTGAAAGTGAGTTGTTGAACTTTATTTTCTGTGTTTTTGCTATAAAGTGTGCTAAGATTATAACTTAATATTTCTTGAAGGATTTAAGAACTGAGACTAAGGCTCGTAGCTTTTACGCGAGTAGTAAAAATCGAAAGATAGGCAAAAAACTACCGCCGGTCTATCCGAACGGATGGTTTGCTCTGCTCGAAAGTTCGCAGATAAAAAATGGTCAGGTGAAACACGTGTCTGCTCTCGGCGAAAATTTTGCAGTGTTCAGGTACGTCAAGGTGCAAAATTTTCTTTGATTATTTTTCGATATATTTTAATTGGAAATTTTCAATCCATCCGAATCCGTATTAAATCTATAAAAATGGATTGAATTCCATATAAAAAATTTTTATACATGTAAAAGTTTAAATAAATTAAAGTAATAATTACATGAAATTCTATAGTTATTATTTTAAAACAAAAATATACGTTAGCTGTATAATGAAGGAAATGAATTTTATTAATATAAAATATATACAAAAGCGATTCATTTATTGATTAAAAATAAGGAATTTATGTATGTAACATTTATTGTACATATTTACATAGTTCTTCTCACGTTTTCTTTTAATTATTAAATGAAATAGAATTCATGATATATTTTTACGGTATAATTTTTTTTTAACTCATTGTCACACACACACAGTAGAATTAAAAAATTTCTTATTTATAATTCCGAATAAAATAGCATTCATGATGTATTTTCTAATAAAACAATAGATTTTCTACTCACAATTTTGAATTAAATAGTATTCATGACTTACATTTTAAAAGAAAAACTTTTTTTATTTAATTGGGTTAAAAACTGCATTTTCAATTTTAAATTAAGCAATATTCACGATGCACACAAAATATTATAATATTATTTTTAGATTGAAAAGCATAGAAATATACTCCATGCCATTCCTATAAATGAAATAAAAATGCATTCAAGATTGAAAAGGATTCATTTTAACATTCATGAATCCGTATTTCTGAAAATCTGAATCCATTTTAATCCATTTTAGTCCATTCTCGTTTGCTGAGTATTTATTATGTAACGTTTTATCAATTTCTTCAAGAACCGAAAGAGGCGTTGTCAACATTTTAGACGCATATTGCCCGCATTTAGGGGCAAATATGGCAGAGAGTGGTCGTGTCAAAGGAGATTGTCTGGAGTGTCCCTTTCATGGCTGGAAGTTTCGCGGAGAGGATGGCTACTGTGAGAACATACCTTATACCTCAAAAGGTATTAATCAAGTTTTATATAATCTTAATTGAGTCTTAAGGTAAATTTTTACGAGCTGCTATAATCGACTGTTTCAGCGATAAAAAAGATCCACACACACACACACACACACACACACACACACACACACACACACACACACACACACACACACATGATCAAAGTGGATACTTAATATTTGTTAATTTTGACCACGTAATTCTTTCTGTCGCTGAAATAGTCAGTTTGAGTAGCTTGTAAAAATTTATTTTCAGACAACTAATAAATAAATCAATTAAATAACGCTCGTTAGTTTGCAATGCAAAAAATATACTTAAACAATCAAGAGATAATCAAATAAGTTGTTTAAATAAGTAAAACATTTAACAATTTAATAAAACAACAAATATAATACATTAATGTATAATACATTTTGGCTCAAGAGTCCAGTTTATAAATAAACAAATAATAAAAAAAATTTATAACAATATCTTTACATATTAAGATATTTTTCCGGCTATACAATCACGCTAGAAAGTTAATCGCATACAATCTAATACGCCTCTCCGCGCGTGAAGAGAGAAACTTTTGACGCAATCGTACATACATGCATAAATGTATCAAATTCTGTGTGCACGAACACTAGTCCGCACTGAAGTCAGTTGAAATGGCAACATCATGTCCTTGTCCCGTCGATCGGCGTGCAAGAAGGAGAATTTTATCAAATTACAAATTTAAACTACTCTAATTCAGAAACGGCACCGCTAGGCTCCCCTATTCCTTTTTTATAAAATTCCTACAATATTTCTACATTATATATATATTTTTTTTTTAAATCTGTAGAAGATTTTCGCCGCAAAATATTAAAACGTATTTTTCGTTGAACATTGTGTGTTTTATCTTCGATTACCATTATTATATGCCGATGGAGACAATTGTCTGGATATGACCTCTCTTATTACTTTAATTATAAATTTCAATATATAAAAATTGTTATAAGTTTTCTTTTAAGACATTCCACGTCAAACTGTGAATAACTGTCAAAAAATTCTTTTAGATATTCTACAGATAATCTGTAGAATGTCAGCAAATATCAGTAAATTAAAAAAAAATTAAAAATGACGGTATTTCAAAAAAAACCGGTTTGACGTAAAGTGCTTCTTTTATATATGTTTAATTATAAACTTATGAAGAATTGGTATACTAAAACGTATCATACATTAATGTATCATATCTGTTATATATTTTTATTAAATTATTAAATATTTTACTTATTTACTCGTTTTACTTATTTACTTATTTACTTATTTACTCTTTCGGTCATTTAAATTAGTACCTATATTCTTAGACATATCTATCTATTTTTTTGCTATCAACATATGTAGTCAAAATATTCGGATCGATTGTTTTCTACGGAATCACATCCCTGCATACAGACACCTATTTGTGCACTTTATCTTACAACGCAAGCATTTGTGTCCAAATATTGGGTGTTCATTTAGGGCTTAAGTTATATTCACAATTCTTGATTTTATACTAGAAGTATATATATGTAGAAAAATGTATACTAAAAATTATTTCTCAATGCATTTATCCTGTCGTATACCGAGCAAGCGAGAATGTATTGAAATGGATTAAAATGGATTCAGATTTTTAGAAATATGGATTCCTGAATGTTGAAATAAATCCTTCTCAATCCTGAATGTATTTTTATTCATTTAAAGGAATCGCATAGAGCATATCTCTATGCCTTTCAATTTAAAAATAATATTAGCAATTTCGGTGCATCGTGAATACTCAGTTCAGAATTGTGAATAGAAAATACAGTTTTTTTAATTCAAAGTTTTTTATTTAGTGAAATTCAAAAATAATATCAACAATTCTTTTGCAACGTGCTCAATTTAATATTCTAAATATGCAGTTTTTCTAATTAAATAAAAAAAGTTTTTATTTAAAAATGAACCATGAATGCTACTTAAATTATTCAAAATTATAAGTAGGAAATTTTTTGTTTTAATTCAACGAAGTTCAAAAAAGTTGTAACGTAAAAATAATTGAGCTACGTTCTTTTGTTTCTCTTTGATTAGAAGTAAAATGAATGATCGATATGAACACTCGCAAATCAAGTCGAACACACACACACAGTTCAATCTATTTTAATCTATTCAATCCATTTTCATGGTACGCATTAAAAAAATTTTAATTCATTTTAATCCATTCTAGTTTGCTGGGTTATAATTATTTTTTTTTTGCCCAGTGCCACATGTTGCCCGAGTGAAAGTTTGGAAGAGCTGCGAAGTGAATCACATTATCTTCGTTTGGTACCATTCTGAATCAGCTGAGCCGGACTGGCAGCCCCAGCCGCATACATTTATTTCTACAGGGGCCTGGCGCTTCCAAGGTCGCAACGAATATCTCATTAACTGTCATATACAGGTTTGTCGAACATTTGATTCTTTGAGATAGAAGATATATCTCTATTACACGGAAACCACTCGGAGAAGACTAGAAAAAAAAAAGCGTTTTCAATTAATCAAGCTAATTATTAGTGTTCACTTGAATATACTGTCGAGAATCACTTTTCAGAATCATGGACGGAGTAAAAGTATTAGAGAGAAAATTACCGTTCTATCCTCCCTACTTCCGAAAATCTCTGTTTTAAATAGATAATAAATTTAATCTGTGGACTTGTGTATTAGGATGTAACCGAAAATGGACCTGATACCATACATCTTAACGAGCTGCATAGTCGACCTATATTCCTCTCTGACGAATTTTCCTGGTTAGCTCGGCACTTATGGATCATCTACACAAGATGGCAACCTAACTGCTCATATAACAACCTCATGACAGATGAGGATGAAAATGAAACAATAAAGACGAGCGCCAAATTGAAAGAAGTGTCAATCCATCCAAATGAAAATGACAACGGAAATAGTCACTTCACAGCGCAATACAGAGACAGAAGTTGGGAGAAGCACAAGGCCAATGTGCACTTGTGCCACAAATTGATGCTTCTAAAACGTTTTAGCACAATGGAGTCCGATGTACGCGCTGAGCAGATCGGACCTGGCATTATCGAGCTAAATGTCAATACGTCGTTCGGATCTTTGTACATTTTATTAATAATAACGCCGGTCGAACCGCTGCTACAACGGGTGATTCATCTGATCTTCTCGCCACCTCTGCTGGCGCCATACGCTAATTTGCTTTTCCTGGGAGAATGCACGATGTTTGAGCGTGACATTAGAATCTGGAACTCCAAGAGATTCGAACGACGTCCGATTCTGGTGCGCGAGGATCGTACCATCCAAGTATACCGCAATTGGTACTCACAGTTTTACTCTGATCATAGTCCCACCTATGAGACGGCCATGAAAGATTTACAATGGTAGCAGTACCTCCTTCTTGCAATGTAACTCGTATAATTTCTATTATATTTGTGCAGGTATTATTATTAATATTATTATTATCTTAATAATAATATTAGTCATATTATTACTAAGATAGATAGATAGATAGATAGATAGATAGATAGATAGATAGATAGATAGATAGATAGATAGATAGATAGATAGATAGATAGGGAGAGAGAGGGAGGGAGGGAGGGAGGCAGGATAACTTATGTACAATGCTTATGTAAAGTATTTGATAGATATACATATATAGGTATACACATATATATAAATTATAATATAAATAGATTAGTATAAAATAAGATCAAAATCTTTATCATAGTGTTCATACATTTTTACTGCCGCTTTATATGTTTGACATATCTGCAATGTACATACAAAATTCTACATTGGACGACAACAATAAATAAACGATGAGCTGTTCGTCATTTAGTTATAATTGTTGTTACTTATTGTTTCGCTTATTTAAACAAAAATAGCGAGGAAAAATGTTTAAAAATCTAGCTTTCAAGACATTGCATTTAATTTAAAACAAAATGAGTTATAAAAATTAAATATTAAAAACACGCACAAAGATCTATAAAATTTTATTGTATATAGTAACAAATTCCGGTTATTCCATGATATTGTCATTCTGTAAGCATTTCTATTAGCCTGATAAGTTAATCGTTTAAAGAAATAAATATGTTAAGATTCAAGACATATCACAACTCAGCATTGCATGTAACGCAATAACATCATAACATCATCGTCGAAATATGTATTACATAATAATAAAATTACTATTAGAATTCTTATTTGTCTGATACATGCAAATTTGTTCCATGTATATTTCGTGTTATATATTTTCATTGAAAACAGTTACAAGAAAAATGATTATTACATAGTATGCGGCCAGTTATAGTAATAAAATAATTTCTGCAGTTAATTTCAAAGCAAGCAGTTTATATATTTAAAATGAAATAAATGAGTGTTTTAAATTTTCCGCTAATTTTAATTTAATTTTTCAGCATTTTTTGAAATTGGCGGATTGAATAATTCAAACAAAAACCAGAATATTTATTGATATGTAATTGTATTGTATGTGTGCGAACAGTGATACATGTTAATAATAATTTGCTACGACATTTATGTGAGTTATTCGAAGTGTAGTAAACATGCAATGTTAAATCATGACTCTATATATTTTGTCAATCATAATTTACATTAACTCACGCTTTTTTATGCGAAATTAACAGTGTATGCGAAATTGAGAGTGTATAGGATTTAATATTATTACTACAAAAGAGCATTTTATAAAAATAACAGTAAAATTATAAATATTTTAATTTTTTATTTTATGTAAGAAATAATAATTGAAATTGATAAAATTTTTTGTTATCTTCCAAAACTTCTTATAATTGTTCTGAATAAATCTTCCTAAAAATCTTATAATTATAATGTTTATACATAGACTTAGAAAGAATGTATACGATATCAACTATCTTTCAATCTATTATTTATGTGTAAAGTTTATTAAATTCTTACTTACATTTTATCTTCCAGAAAAGTTAATAAAAATATTTGCATAAAAAAGCGTTATATTATAAACAATTATAAAATTTCAAATATTTTCTATTTTTGTATAAAGATACATTAATTAAAAATGACTAAAATGGAAGAGAATTTTATTTTTTTATGTAAAGTTATAAATCTTTCTTCTGGGAGAGAAATATTTATGACAGCTTAAAAAAGAAATTTGAAACAAGTACTTAAAGCTGCCGGAAATAGACCCACAGGCCACCTTTCGGCGTTGGTAAAAACGTTCCAAGAATCATCTTTAATGGTATTTGCGTTCTCGGCGACAATTCCATTCTGTATTTTTTTAGAATCATAGCCAAGCCTGCCTTTATTTGCAGCTGAGCCATTCTCATACCCACACAGATTCGCGGACCTTCGCCGAAGGGAAGAAAAGTAAATTTCTCAATATTGTGTTTTCTATCCGAGTTGAATCTTTCAGGATCATATTCTTCGGGATTTTCCCAGTATTGTGGATCTGTGTGCAGAGCTTGAAGCGGTATCAGGATCTCCATTCCGGGTTGCACGCGACAGACAACTCCATCGGATCCTTTCAGATCGAACTCTTCCGTGCATCGTTTCTTCATCAACAATCCTGGTATTAACCTCATCGTTTCATTGAAGACCTGATCTATGTATGTCATTTCTTTCAAGCCTTCGTAAGTGATTTCACCACCATATTTATTAAGCACAGATGTCACTTCCTCACGTAATTTTTCCTGTATGTCTGGGTACTGAGCCAAATAAAACCCAATAAAGCTCATAACACTACTAGACGTCTCATATCCGTCGACAACGAACGACATCGCATGACCTGCGATCATTCCAATGTCAAATTTATCACCCTCCGCTCGCTCCTGTTCCATCATCAGATGAAGAAAGTCGTTTCGAGGTATTCCGTCTTTTCTCCTTTGCTCCATGAGTTCTGCAACCAATGTTCTGAAGAAGTTGTCGATGTGCTTCGGAATAAGGTCTAGTTTCAAGATTTTATTTAACGACGGAATGAGAAATACAAGAGCGAAGATAATTGTAGTTCGTTTCGACGGTTTGAAGATGGCTTGTCCGAGTTTCCTGAAAGATACATTTTTTTTGTCATCATCAAAGCAGTATCCATCTACACCGAAGCCAGCAGCAGCTACCACTTGCGCGGAGTATTTAGAAAATAAACTCTTCAGTTCGAACTCTGTCTCTTTGTTGCTTAATTTTCTGTCCATGTAATTCTCCATCGTCGCACACACCTTTTTAACGCTTTCGAGCAGGATCTTCAATCGCATACTGGAAAATGCGTATGCCAATCGCTTTCTGCTGTTTAGCCACTTCTCGCCGGAAAGACCGAAAGGATTATATGACATGAGACTGTCTGATTCTTCATCAATATGAACAGCATTTTCGGCAAAACTTGAAAAATGGGTTTGCAGCACCACTTTCACTAGTGCTGGTTCGATGATCAATAACGACGGTGATGTAAAGTCATAGATCCCAATCATGCTATGTCCTTTATTGTCCTTGTAGATCTTGCAACAAAAATCGGTGATGTGCGTCTTCATGCAGATCACCGATAGCATGTTACCGAACCCCGGCAATGCTCCATCCACGCACGGAATTCCACGTTTTTGCCAATACTTGTAATTTCGCGTCAGATAAAAGTAAAGGGCTATAAGTGCCCCGAAAATTAGAGACACCAGCACGACGGTCATGTTGTTGCTCTTGAATAAGAAATGACGCTTGATGGGATAAATCGATGTAGCCTTGACCACGTATCATTCACGACTGCAGGTCGGGATGTAGCGATGTGGCTGAGACTAGATTACATTGGTAGCGTTGATAAGTCGGGAGAATAAATGAGACTTCAAAACAGTAATATGTTGCGTTATTAATGATTCCGTCAAGTGAATTTTATTACTTATAATGTTGTAACTAACATTTTCTCTCTATTGCGGAGACTAAACTTATAATCATTAAAAAGTGAATATAAAAAAATATATTCAGCATATTAAAAATTTTTTAAATAATTCGTTCTTCTACAGATCCTTCACTTTATTGTCGCTTTCTATGTTTGACCGTATCTGCATTACATTATACAAAGTTTTATAACAATGTTAAATAAGGAAATAAACTTTTCGTCATTTAAATCTAATTGTTGTTACATATTTTCAGACTTATTTGGACAAAATGGTAAGCTATAAGTCTAAAAGTCTAGTTCTATTAAGATATTATTAATATTATATTTAAAACTTTTACAATAATAAATTATGAAAAGCATACACGATGAAAATATATGTACAAATCTATGAAAACTCATTATATTATATATAAATTCCAGTAGTACAATGATGTTATCTTTCATGCTTTTCTATTACTTTGATAAATAAAGCTTTTAGCTGAAGATAAGTATGTAGAAGTTCGAGATAAATCGCATTTCAGCACTATATCTGACGCATAACAGTATCATCATTGAAATATATTATTGATTATATAATATCAGCTAAAATGACAAGTAGGATACTACGTATTTGACTGATGCGTGCAAAATAATTCCATGTTAAATATTTCTTAATGATGACAGATGAAAAAAGAAAATGTTATTGCATAGCATAGTTTGCTGTCAATTAACGGTAAATGATTTCGCAATTGATTATCAAAGTAATAAATTGATGTCATCGACCGCAAGTAATTTATGCAGGTGTTTAGAATTAAAGAGATAAAAGATAAATATTTAATGTTTGATTATAATTTTTTTTTTTTTCAATTATTCGAAGATTTGAATTTAATTTGTTCCCCATTTTTGGAATCGGTGGATTGAATAATTTGAATGAGAATTAGAAAGCTGGTCAATATACGTACTTCGGTTTGTATATACTTATAGTGATACGCGTTATAAATAATTTGCTATGAGATTTATGCGAGTTATTCAAAATGTATTGCACGAGAAATATTAAATCACGACATTCACGACTATATATATTTTTGTCAATTATCAATTAACTCACGTTTTTTCGCGCAAAATTAACGTGAAACTGATCGTACAACCTTAATTTCTGTTCATACAAAATATACGAGTATACCTTCTCTACAAAATGCTAATTTTCAAGCAGATCGTTTTTTCGTGTAACTATATTTTCTCCACGCTACCTTTCAACTGCAATAAAGTGTTTATTCCAGTGTCACACGATTATCATTTTGGTAACTGATATGTGTAGGGTCACAGTTAGCCTTTTCGCCAATGCGTTTGAGAATGCCACGATGAAACAGATGAGATATAAAAGTGGGGAGAGAGAAGAAGAAGATGTGAAAGACGGTAATAAAAATGCAAGTATTTTATTTATTTGCTATTTGCTTGTAAAATTAATCATTCTGGGATCAATTATATCCCGGGGCACAAATTACATCTTTCATGCCCTATTTTGTAGCGTTTTATACAAAAGATGTATTTTTTTTATTGTATTTCTTTTGTTTCAGTGATGGGCACGTAATTTGTTATTTAGTTTTATCTCACATTTAGTAAAAAATGAAAATAAATAATACCTCACGTTCACATCGTGCGTGATACGGCATATAATTCAATAATCCGAAATAACGGAATAATTTAATAATCCGGAATATATCCTTTAACAAAAAATGTTGCACAGACTTAGACTTTTTTGTTAAAAAGTGTATATATTTTGATAATTTAACTTTTTTTTTTAATTGTATTTATATAATACGATTTTTGTCTTAGAATGTGAGAATATAATTTTTTTTAAGTCTTCTTTTTAATCTTTGAAATGTGATATATTTTGAAATACAGGATGATACTAAAATAAAACTTATAAAATTTTTTAAATAATTGACAATTAATAGTAGAATAAATTTGATTTATTTAAAATATCCACTTAAATATACTTCTGATTATTTCGTATTAAAGCAATAGCTAGAGTTATCAAGAGAGACTTATTATTATTGTTTGTACAAAATACATTTTTTTTTAATTGCAAAATCTTAAGAACTTTAAACTTATTATTTTTTTCAAAGTATACAGTAATTAAAGATAAAATTTTTATTTTTTTTACTACACTAAGAATTTACAATTATAATATTTATATAAAAAATATTTTAAAAATTACATAATTCTAATGACTCTGATCTTTTATTTTTGCATGAATATAATTAAACTCTTGTTTATTCCTTTGCTTAATTAAAAGTTTGTGAAAATATATTTGCATAAGAAAATACCAAATATCTTTCTAATTTTTGTATAAAGATATAGTATTAAAACTGACAAAAATTTGAAAAGAACATTATTTAAAAAAAAAAATTATAATTTTCTATTTTGATATTAAAAAGAAAATATACACGACTAAAAATTAAAAAAAAATTAATAGAAGATATTTAAAGGTGCTGAAAGTAGACCCATAGACCGCCTTTTGGTATTGGTAATATGTTACCGGGCATCAATTTTAAAGGTATTTGTGTCTTTGGGGATAGTTCCAATTTGTATTTTTTCACAATCATAGCCAAACCTGCCTTTATCTGCAGCTGGGCCATTCTCATGCCCACACAGATTCGCGGGCCTTCACCGAATGGAAGAAAGGTGAATCTATCGATGTTGTGTTTTCTGTCCGAGTTGAATCTTTCAGGATCATACTCTTCCGGATTTTCCCAATATTGAGGATCTTTGTTGAGAGCTTGAACTGGTATCATAATCTCCATTCCAGGTGGCACGCGACAGACAATTCCATCGGATCCTTTTAGTTCGAATTCTTCCGTGCATCGTTTCTTCATCAACAATCCTCTGGGTATTGACCTCATCGTTTCATTGAAGACCTGATCCATGTATATCATCTCCCTTAAACTTTCATACGTGATTTCACCATCATATTTGTTGAGCACAGATACCACTTCCTCGCGTAATTTCTCTTGTATTTTCGGGTAACGAGCCAAATAAAATCCGATGAAGCTCATAATACTGCTAGACGTTTCGTAACCGTCGAGAACGTATGACATTGCCTGACCCATGAGTATTTCATTATCGAATTTATCCCCTTCTGCTTGCTCCAGTTCAGTCATCAAATGGAGGAAGTCGTTTCTAGGTATTTCGTCCTTTCTCCTTTGTTCCATAAGTTCTGCAACCAATGTTCTGAAAAAATTGTCGACGCACTTCGGGATTAGGCTTGCTTTGAAGATTTTATTTAATGATGGAATGAGAAATATAAGAGCGAACATAATTGTATTTCGTTTCGATGGTTTGAAGATGGCTTGTCCGACTTTTCTAAAAGATACGTCTTTTTTGTCATCATCAAAGCAATATCCATCTATGCCGAAGCCAGCAGCAGCTACCACCTGCGCGGAGTATTTGGAAAATAAACTCTTCAGTTCAAACTCTGTCTCTTTGTTACTTAACTTTCTGTCTATGTAATTCTCCGTCGTCGTACACATCTTTTTAACGCTTTCGAGCAGGAGCTTCAGATGCATGCTGGAAAATGCGTATGTCAATTGCTTTCTGCTGTTTAACCACTTCTCACCGGAGAGGACGAAGGGACTATATGACAGGAGGCTGTCTAATTCTTTATCAATATGAATAGCATTTTCGGCAAAACTTGAAAAATGAGTTTGCAGTATCACTTTCACTAGTGCCGGTTCGATGACCATTAACGCTGGTGTTGTAAAGTCATAAATCCCAACCATGCTGTGACTTTTATTGTCCTTGTAGATCTTGCAACAAAAATCGGCAATGTGCGTCTTCATGCAGATCACCGGTAGCATGTTACCGAACCCCGGCAAAGCTCCATCCACGCACGGAATTCCACGTTTTTGCCAGTACTTGTAATTTCGCGTCAGATAAAAGTAAAGGGTTATAAGCGCCCCGAGAATCAGAGACACTAACACGACAATCATGTTGCTCCTCTCGTATGACAAGTAACGATTGATCGGATAAATCGACGTGTCCCTGATCTCGTATCGTCTGCGTATGGTCGTGATGTAGTAAAATTGTTAACGCTTAAATACGTTGATAGCGCCGAAAAAATAGGCGAGACTGAATAATAAAATTTGTACACATGATTTATATCGTGTTTGCTAAGTAAACTTTATTATATAAGATTAACTAACATTTTCTTACAATTGTGTAGAAGAAATTGATTTATATAGTCATTGAAGGAAAAAAACACATTCAATATGTTTAAAAAATTTTTGATCATTTTAGTATTGAATATTTCAATGTGTTGGAAACGAAATGAAAATATTTTAACTATGAACTTGATATATGTGTATATAATAGAAACGATTAATTTGAAAGGATATTATTTTAAATTATTTTTCTAGTTGCTTGTGACATATTGCATCAAAAAAGCATTAGTTCAAGAAAGAATGAGTTCTTTATCGAGTAAATGGACATGACATCAATTTCGTTTAATAAAGATTTATTATATAAAATATATACAAAGTCTAGGGAGCTAGCCAGCCGGATGTTAAACAATATTTACATAGAAACTAATATTGAAGTTTATTAATCATAAAGGATTCTAACATACGTTTCGACTTTTTTACAACAGATCTTCTTTAGTGTAAAAATTATAAAATAAAATAAAGCGGATATTAAAAAAATTTCTATTTATAGACAAAAGATTTATTAGATTGTTGTATTCCGTTATCGCTATTTGCTGTATATTTTAAGAGATAAATTAATATTTGTGTATTTCATAAAAAGAGACCAAACTTATTTACGTATATTTTATCACATACATTATTTTATATATATCAAACAAGACAAAATTTATCTGTATATTTTTTATTATATATTTTATTATAAATTAAATGTTATATGGCTTTCAGAATGTTTTATGGTATTATATTTATTTGATTTATGTATGCGTAGGATCTCTGTTGATCGTAAGTGCGTATGAACGCTATAAAGAAATGTAGAGATGGGATATATGCGGAAGGAGAAGAAAGAGAAAGATATGTGGATGGTATCGTGCGATATTGGAGTATCCAAAGTAATTTATTTATTTGCTGTTTGCTATTCCATTTTTATGAAATTCGTACCTCAGTTGCACCTCTCAAATATATTGCTTATATTGTGACTGATTGTCGTTCTAGAATGTGTAAAAATATTTTTTCTAAATATTTTTTTTATGATAACAATATAAATTGCGTAATTTTTAAATAAATAGTTTAAGATTAATAATAGCATAAACATATCAGATGTTAAACGTATTTTTGACAATTTTCTAAGAAAGTAATAAAATCAGCAGTTGTAAAATTTATTATTAATTGTACAAAGGAACATATTATAAAGAATTTTAAAATTTTTAATACTTGATAATATGCTTTTATCAAGATATATATATATTCTTTTATCAAAATAATAACTTTTATTTTTAATACTTCTTTATTTTTATATATAAATGCATTATTTGAATGTGATAAAATTCTTACTTTTTTACTAGATTAAAGACTTATAATTATATTATATACTCACTATTTTGATGATGATGAATGAAAAATTTATGGCAATAAACAAAGGCTTTTTATGATTAAATCAGTAATAATAAATTGGGAGCATGAAAATCAACGCTGGACATTTTATTATTAAGTAAAAGACATTAAATGTAGCACATACGAAGTACTAGTTCTAATGTTAAAATGTAGATATCACTGTAAACGCCTGAAATTTTTTTACAAATATAATTAAATACGAAAAGTCCTATACTCGATTAAAGCAGGATCATAGTGTTTAAATATATCTTGTGAATTTATATAAAATTAAAATAGAATTTTTCGTATTTAATTAGATCTATTCTCATTATCCAAATTCGTATAATATTTGTTTATAAAGTTACAAACCCAGTGATTTTATCGAGAGTATACTGATTTGATTGAGTATATGCAGAAGCTGCGTATATCTTTTGCATTGGGTGTGTTTAGCAGCGCAACCGCTCACTAAGCTGTTAAACAGCAATTAAATATGACTGGCTTTTATTTTTAGAACCAACATTTAAATTCAATTGCGTAATGAAATTGATACTCAGCCGCTTAGTAAGCAGTTGCGCTACTGGGTGCACCTATTGTTTCAATCGCCATGTGAACGCCACAAGGAAAAGTGTATCGTGTCGCTTGCGAGTTGAAACAGCTGTACAAGCGTCATGGACTTTAATTGCGCAAGCGATAACTCATAAAACATTTTCTGCTGTTGTGTCCATATGGCGACGTGTAAGCCGTTCTAGTAATGACGGAAATAAATAGACGTTGCATGTCCAAATTGTAATTTGCTTTTATTTAAAAAATTCGGAGCTGCTGTTATAATTGATATCCATAATTTGTCATTGAAACTATTATTTTGTATGTTGTGAATTTTTTATTATGTCTCAACGGAACACCCTATATAAAGTATATAAGAAACCTTGTAAAGAAGTACAAAGATTACATTCTTCCTTATTTTCTTAATAAATTAAGAGAATGAATTAAGAACTTCTAAAAATATACGTATAAGAAAATATTTTATAAAAAATACTAAAATTCCACCTTGTCTATTTTTATATAAAAATACAGTAATTAAAACAGATTAAATTTGAAAAAAATTTCATTTTTATATGAAGATTACACAAATATTTCCTTTGGACATAAAAATTATTCATGATGCTAGAAACTAAACATTGAAAACTAGAAAGAAGTTTATTATAAAAAAGATATTTACATTTAAAGCTTTCGAAAATAAACCCACAGTCCTCCTAGCGGTACTGGTAAAACGTTACCAGGAATTATCTTTAAAGGTATTTGTGTCTTCGGGGATAATTCCATCCTGTATTTTCTTAAAATTACAGTAAAAACTGCCTTTATTTGTAGTTGAGCCATTCTCATACCGACACAGGCTCGAGGACCTCCGCCAAATGGAAGAAACACGAATCGATCGATGCTGTGTTTCCTATCCGAGCTGAATCTATCAGGATCGTACTCTTCGGGATTTTCCCAATATTGAGGATCTTTTTGCAGACCTTGAACTGGTATTAGAATCTCCATACCGGGTTCTACACGACAAACAATTCCATCGGATCCTTTCAGTTCAAATTCTTCCGTGCATCGTTTCTTCATAATCACTCCTGCGGGAAGCAGTCTCAGTGTCTCGTTTAAGACTTGGTCCATGTATGTCATTTCTTTTAAGCCTTCATAAGTGATTTCTCCGTTGTATTTGTTAAGTACGGATAACACCTCCTCCCGTAATTTATTCTGTATTTCTGGGTGACGGGCCAAATCAAATCCGATGAAGCTCATGACGGTGCTGGTAGTCTCATAGCCATCGATGATGAACGACATTGCGTGGGCCGTAACCATTTCAAGGTCGAATTTATCGCCTTCCGTTCGCTCCTGTTCGACCATCAAATGGAGAAAATCATTTCTAGGTGTTTCGTCCTTTCTTCTTTGCTCCATGAGTTCTGCAACCAGTGTCCTGAAGAAATTGTCTACGTGCTTCGGAACGACGCCTAATTTAAAGATTTTGTTTAACGATGGCACGAGAAACGTGACAGCAAACACGATTGAATTTCGTAAAGACGGCTCAAAAATGGCTTGTCCGAGTTTCCTGAAGGATATATCCTTTTTCTCGTCATCGAAGCAGAATCCATCAACGCCGAAACCAGCGCCGGCTACCACCTGTGCGGTGTACCTGGCGAACAAGCTCTTCAGTTCGAACTCTGACTGGTTATTGTTCAGCTTTTCATTCATGTAATTTTCAAACGTTGTACACACTTGTTTAACACTTTCGAGCAGAATCTTCAATCGCATGCTGGAGAATGCGTAAGACAAGCGCTTTCTATTGTACATCCATTTCTCACCAGTAAGAACGAAGGGATTATGTGCCAGGAGCGGATCTAAGTCGGGATTAATATCGATGGCGTTTTTAGCGAAACTTGAATAATTGGTTTGAGTTACCGTTTTTACTAGCTCGGGTTCGAGGATCATCAATGCTGGCGACATAAAGTCGTAGAAACCGACCATACTGCGACCCTTGTTATCATTGTAGATTTTGCGACATAACTCACCAAGATCCGTCTTCATTAAGATCACCGACAACATGTTACCGAATCCTGGCACAGCTCCATCCACATACGGAATTCCACGTTTTTGCCAATATTTATAATTTCGCGTCAAATAAAAGTAAAAGGCTATAAGCGCCCCAAGAATCAGAGATACTAGCACGACGGTCATTTTAACTCTCTCTTGGACGAGAAACTACCGCTTGGTCGGATAAGTCGTTAACTATATATTATTCGCGACTGGTTGTGATGCAGCGGAATCGTGGAAGCTATAATAGTGCAATGATAGCATCAGTAAAATGAGCGAGATTGCGAAACAGTAATGACCTTACGTTGGCATATTCAGCTCCATTAACTTTACTACGACGTAGTATTAAGTGAGTATTTTCCAATTTAGAAAAGTGGAGGGGTACGTAACTTTTCTTATCTTAAAAGATATAGAAAAATATACAGAATACAAATTGCCATTAGCATATCTTTTAGAAAAAAAATAATAAATAAAGTTTAAACAGTAAGACTAATTTGTTATAAAAAAATATTTTCATCAAAATAGAAATGAATATTTATGTGGAAAATATTAAAAAAGAAAATTGTTTATAGTGATTATTTAAATTTAATTTACATATTGATAATTCTAAAAATGACGCTATGTTTTTACTTGCGTGACTTCATAATTAAAGAGAATTAATAAAAATTTTGTACTGTAATTTTACACAAAAATGATATAGTGAAACCTCATTTTTTTAATTTCAAGTTGTTCTTTAAATTTCATTCTTTTATATTCATATAACTCTTTAAAAATAATAATATATTCTTATATTTTGTTCTATATATTTTGTTATATATATTTTAAATAAAGAAAAAAATTAAAACGTTATTTAGTACTTATTATTTTAAATAACTTCTTCTTACCTATTTCTTATTTAATATTTTAAATACGTTTTTGGAATTTATTTTATATTTTTTATTTTAAATAAGTTGTATCAGTTTGTTATCGATTTTGTATTTTAAATAATTTTCTAAGAGCTATTTTATATTTTTTATTTTAAATAAATTGTATCAGTTATGTTACCGATCTGTCAGTAAAAGTAATGGCTATTAATTAAATTATAGTATATTTATAATAAAGTATAGTATGTGTGTGATATAAGATATACTTACATATGATCAAAGTTTTAATTTTCCACCTGTAGTTCGCAAAGGGTTAATACTTATATACTATTAAATATTAATTATAGGCTATAGTTAAAATGAAACACAAGAACGTTATACTTATAAATGAATATTTATATATTTAAATAAATAAAATCATAAAAATATTTTGTATTTAGTATTTGAAACGTTTATTTAAACTATACGTATATTTCTTATTTTAAATTTTAAGTAAATTTTCGAAATTTGAATTTAAAATGAGATATTGCCTTCGAAAACTTATTTAAAATAAAAGACAAGTTATTTTTCTTATTTTAAATAAAAGTTCTATATTTTAAATAAATAAATGCATTTTGGGTTCTATTTCTTATTTCATATTTTAAATAAGTTTCTGAAACTTATTTTATATTTTTTATTTTAAATAAGTCGTATCAGTTATTTTACCGAGCCCTGGCAATAACTGATAAAAATCATTATATATATTCTGTTGCTGTCATTTTTCATCATAATGATAAAAATAAAAAGATTAATTATTCGTTGCTAACATGTTGCTGTTATATTGCAGACAACATAATGAATCATAGTTTGCTCTAATTTTGACAACTGATTACAATGATTATGTATATAAGCAGTAATGTTAAATTTTATAATGTGTTATATAATATTTTGATGTCAGCAAATGTACAGCAAATATATAACAACATATGTAATGCATTAGTTTGCACAATATGTGCTATATCATGCTTAGCTATCTGGAAATATCTTTTATACAATTTTTTTCTAGTTTAACTAGTTCCCCGTTCATGTTATCATATATTAATAAAAAAATCAGTAATTATAAGCTATTAATTTTGCAGTGAAAGCACAATATAGCTATTTTTAATATCGTTTATAAGATTCTTTATCTTATGATTAATACTTTATTTTGTATTATATGTTTAATGTACAATAACATTTACAAGGAACCT